ACGCATTTCTAATTCGTAATTATGTAATTATCAATTAGTCATAATTCATAAATTGAATTGAGGGAAAATAAAATTATGCTCCAAAATAGAGACCAGAATTATTATTGAAAAAATCGTACGAAATATAGTAGGTTTACACACATTCGCATCGACGTGTAGTAAGCATCGACGGAATTGTAATGTTATATACATATAATTATAATTTATCCGTATAAGAATGTTCATTGTTCGTGTGTGTAAATCTTTATTGTTACTTTGATGACAATTGTTTTTTTTGTTTCTGCCGAAGAGACCCGCACTCACATTGAACAAATTTTTTAAATCGTATTTAGGAAGACTGGATAAAACTTGTTTATAAGCCAAATGTGGCCTCATAGGCAGTATTTTTGAAACCCTAGCTTGGTCCAGACTATAGTATTGTACAGAAAATGTGTCTAATACTCACGTTTAGTTCGTACACAACTCCGGACACGTGCAGTCTAGTGCGCCTGTGTGGATATTTAAATGACTTTAGGAACTTTACTCGGCTATACACTTATACGTCTGTTTGATATTTGTGTTAAATTTTGTAAATGTTCATCTTTTATTTATTTTTATTTTAAAAAATGAGTATTTTATTAAAATTCAATATAATATCAAGATATACAGTTAAAAAAAAATTATATACCAAACACCAATTTATAAGTTTTGATTTATTTTTTTAATAAAACTAGCAGGGTGTTTTCTCCTTTTCTCCTTTGTTTAGTATTATTTCGTTCAAATGTACTATTAATTATAGTTTAAATGATTGAAAAAATGTTACGTTGTATAATGCTGAATTATATCTCTTTTTTCTACACTCCTTTGTTATTCTATTGGTCGATTGAAGATCATTGGCCGTCCATCAATTTTTTTCCTCGAGGTTTTCAATCAATGCGAGTTTCGTAGTAACTGCAGAGAAAGCACGTTATTGCAAGGTAATATAACTTAAATAAAAACACTAAAATTATTTTGTGCAGTTAATTAAAACATTTGGACATATTACGTTTAGTATAATGATGGAGCTGTAGTTTAATTTTTTTTACTACTTAATTAAATTCATTTAACCTACCTTAGTTTATATATCATAAGTAATGAATACATTAATTTATAATTATGATTATTTAACATTGATGTTTTAAATTTAAATGTCAGGTATACTCAATAAAATATTTTTGATTTAAGTTACAGAAAAGTAGTGAAGTCACGGTGACAATAAACTTAATCCCACTAGGACCATCTAATTTTACTTTACAATTATTTACATTGTAAAGTACTTTATTGTTTTGTTTTATCTTGCAACCTGTTGAATGCAGACTGTTGGTTAAATTTGCATATCATTTGGATGTGTCATAATAACGTATGCATAATGACATGTTGTTTTATTTATGTATTCTAGAGTGGTGTAAAAATGTATGAATCATAATATGCACCCAATATTTAAATATTTAAATCAGAAATTAATGGTGAAACTATTTCTTGAAATTTTTTCTCGGAAAATTCCAAGTATCACTATCAGGAAATTATTTTAAAATACGGAATACATTTTAAATATTATGATAAAAAGGTAAAAGGTGATTACAAAAGTCAGAAAGTACGATTGTGATGAATATTTAAAATATGGACTTTAAAATGTGAATTACAGACATAAAATGTTGAAAAGTTTTCGAGATCTGTAAATAGAAGAAAAAAGTCGGGGAATGACCCTTTAACGGAAGACACTGAGATTTGAAGATATCACTAAGGTAAGTTTACACCTATTAATAGGTTAAAATTTTAGTCTAAAATGATCAAAAATTAATTGTTATTGTTTTAATATTATTACCTAATATCCACTAAAATGTAATTACCTAGTAAATAATACATAAGCACATGACTGAGCCTAAACAAAAACATATTTATCATTATTGTTTATAAGTTAATACTATTCGCCCATACTCAATATTAATTTCAATGTATATATTTATAACTTATAAGTTATATATTATAAACTTATATAGTTATATAAACCAAAAAAAAATATAGTAATATTATATTAAATGCTGTTGGTATATTTTTTAGTTAAATGTTACTTTAAGTGAATTTACGATGATACTCTAAAGTTGTATAACTTATAAATTATAATAATCATGGTTTTTAGAATAAAATTCACATCTCTACGATGAATAGCAAATGCAACACAATGAAACAATATTTAGTTACCATTGCAACATTAAAGTTTGTATAAAAGTTGTATCCCTGAAATTTGGACGTACAACTTATACAAGTAGGTAAATGTATAATAACGCTATAATAATAACTATTGAATTCTAACATAGAGTTTCCTAAAATACTGACACTAAATTTTTGTACGTACCTATCCGTGTTACACAGTCTTGCCTGCAGATTATTATATTATCATAGTAAATAGGGTAACCTAATAATATTTGAAAAAACAATGTTTATGGGAGGTTGACTTGATTAAAAATATTATTTTATTTCCATTATGTAGGTAACATAATATAAACTGAATAATAAGGTAACTAATAAGTAAATAATATACTAATCGCTCATAATGCCCCAACAAACGTAATATACACCACTCCCTCTCATGGAGAGTCATTTCTCCGCTCAACAGGTATTCGTCTAACAAGTTGTAAAATGATGTTCAAAAAAGTTATAATTTAGGTAAATGTGTGCAAAGTGGTTTTAGCCATGAAACATTGGAATATAAAGATTAAAGGGTAACTTTTAAACACGGATATATACTAATTACTAGATGCCCGACTCGATTCCCATACTTGAAGCCAACAGTCATAATGCAGATTGGGCATTGTTTACAAGCCGATGTTATCAATATTAGTGATAACAGACAAAATTATAATTTATAATAATTTAAAATTTATATTATTAAATCACATGGTAGTACTACTACTTACTAGTACTCGTAGGAGCAAATAGTTTAAAGTACTCATTAGTGTTTGGTAGTAGGTACATTTTTTATAATAATAATATTAATATGTTATCATAATAATTATATTGATAACAGATTGTAAACATTGCCCAACCTATTTGGCTTCAAACACCAATACGCAGTGGCATATGGAGTCGGGCATCTAGTAAATACTAAATAGAATATATCTGTGCTTTTAAACTTACGATGCCACGTTAACTGATAGCATGTTATCGCGTATCTTATCTTTGGTTGGATGCCAACCAAATATTGATTTATGTAAAAGTATATAATTTATGCTATATGCCTATATGCATTCTAGTCATAGTATTATTATTATCATACAGTATATAGGTACGAAGATACATTAAACAGTTACAATGTGTTAGGTATATAGAACTTTATAACTTATAAGTATACAAACCTATGCAACTCAAAAGTATAGAAATTCTGTGTATATATCTCGTTTTATATGAGAGCTAGTATAAACTCATAAACACATAAAATGATTATCATGGTTATTAACGGATTGTTTGGGGTAAACAACTGCTGAAATTATTACGTTAATCGTATATTATGGGCATGCCGTGTGATAAACGCAAACATAATATGGAAACGCATGTAGCGCCCCACGTTGTACTATATATTGTTTAATGTTTATAATCTAAATCAGCGTTTCTCTCGACCTGTGGTAAGCGGAAAACTTATAGGTGGTACACCAAAAAAACCTCGGTTCATAAAAAATTTTTTAAATTATTGTCAACAATAAATATAGGCGTTGTCCAGATAAACTTTATTACAGCTTCTAATTTCTTTCGTGTTTCGTGTCAACATATATATCTGTAAAAAAATACATATTCCCACACAGCAGTTATTTTATAGCTAGTAGATATATAGGTACAAATAAATAGGCGTAGAAATAAATTAAACGTAGAAAATGATTTAAGACTTCAAGTTACCAACATATAATGGAGTCTGATATTGATGTCCTCGTCCATTCAAAACAACACCAAATGTTTCATGTAGGTATTTAAACTATAATAGGTACCTAGTACCTACATCAGGGGCGCCCGCAGCAATGTAGCTCAGGGGGGGGGGGGCAAAAAATTGCAAGTACCTAAATACTTATGGGAAGATTTACCGCTACACTTTCATCTACTTATACTTAGTAATAGTATCGTTTATAATTTTTTAAAAATCAAAACTAATTTAAGTAAATATAAAATTACAGTAATTACACTATTATTTCAATATTTCTAAGAAAAAACATAATAAAATTTAAACAAAAAACAACTTTATATCTTGTAAGTTGTATTAACTGAAAAAATGCATACTTTAAGTATTAAAGTAATTAATTTAACTCCCAAAAACATTAAATTTGTTATGATGGTAGAATGTGATTTTAATAAAATATTAGCAAGAAATTAAATATAAATAATCCAATATAAGAGCTTACTTTTTTTGTTTTTTTTTTTTAAAAATATGAGTCAAGTGTCCTCATTTTCTTCTTTTTAGGAACTGAATCCATATTTGCACTTCTTAACGAATTTTTTTATTATTTTAACTTAAAAATTGGTTAATTTGTAAATTGTAGGGCAACAACGCTAACAACAGTCAACACTCAACAATACGTGGACTTGGAAAACACAATATATCGTTAATCGTTTGATAATGAATTAAATATAGTAATTGCACATTTCTACCCATGATAGCTGAACACATTACCCAGAATACGATAAATGTAATAATAATAAAGTCTGTCAAAAGGTTTCTATTTCCGTCGACGACAGGCTGCTTTTATATGACTTGTTAGATACAAGGATTGTCGCATAGTCTCTAAATACCTAAGACCAGCTTTATGTAAAAAAACTTCTAATTTTGTAACTGACACAAAAAATCTCAGTGGGGGCAATGGCTCTCACTGGCCCCCCCTTCCGGGCGTCCCTGACCTACATACGTATTTTTTTTACTATTGTGCATTATTAAATGTTTATATTCGTATAATTATATAGATAGTTTTTAGGCAATAAAAAGCACCATACAGATAATATTTAAAATAACGTATACATTTTTAATAAGCAACAAAAATCGTTATTGGACTAATTTGTATGTAAAAAAAATTCCAAACGTTTACTACGTGGGACTCAGGTTTTCTTAAATCCTGGACTTTTTTTGGTTGAGAACCTCTGATCTTTGTAATGTCGCACTCGATCAACAACCCTGAGTTCGGTCACACTGTATATGGGTATACTCAGCTGGCACTGCCCCCTCACTGCAGGATACCGCTCGCCGTCAGCTCAAAAGTTCGGTGGGGTGAATATAAGCGTCAATATCGACGTGTTCCGTACAGTCGTCGGCGGCTTGCAGGCGTTAAGGCGCATGTTCAGGCGACAGAATACGAACTGCAACGTATCACCCATGCTTTATCTGTATAATTGAATCCGGGCGAGGAGTCGTAGCGGGGCGGACCAAAAAAAAAACAACAAAAATACGAGTGGACGGAAAAGAAAATTAAGATCTAATTGACTCACACCATCGTCCAAGTGAATTAAATGCTCCGGGAACGTCGGGGGTGTCATGTGAGCACCGTTTGCTCTCGTGTTTGTTCGTACAATGTTATACATCGTGTTTTACACACACATACGCACACGCACACACACTGACGCATACTGTGCGCGAGGGAGGCTCCCGCACGTGCGCGTTAACAAAACCCCTTTTTGGTCGGGCGACTGGTGGGGGGAAATCTCGGCTAGGGACATTGCGCAGGAATGCTTCGAATTATGAACCGCTACACGCAAAAAAAAAACACCGAGACAACTCCAAAGAGAAGGAGTAAAAATCGTTTACGATTATCGTAGTAAAACGCGAGTAAATGGATTGAGGAATTGTTATGTTTTGATCATTTTTTTTTAGTTAACGGATATTACAATGCAATATTATAATTTTATTCAATAAATTGATTTATTGCCGTACGTTATTCTGTACGATAAGTTTTCCGTTTTACGTTAAATTGCGCGATCCTTCCGAAATTCTCTCTTTTCGTATTTACACTATTATTCATTGATTACATTTGCGCTGAGAACGTATGATTGTTTCATTTTTTTTTTTTTATCACTTTTATTCACGTGACAACGACCCGTCCGAGTAACGTGATCATTTTACGAACCTCGTGTCTATTAACATAATTAATTTTATTATATACACACACATACACTCGTGAACTGAACTTTGTCAATGGAAGGTGAGTCGAATGACCTACTAACAAAAAACTTAGAGTACCGTAGCTGTTGATTTGGTAGATTTAGAGTCTGCCGAGGCATAAGTGTAGACGTCTTAGACGACGATATAACTTTGCGATTAAAATATAATCTAACTATGTATCAGTAGAATTAGTAGTATAAGTATTGTAGTAGTAGGTCATTCGTTATTGTGGACCTTCGGGTGGGTATTTTCATCTCGCCCTTCACGTGTGTATACAAAATCTGAAACTTCCGCGTACGCGGTATACTATATTATAATCCATACATAAAATATACAATTTTCTATAGTATTTATCAAGTACATTCGTTTACCTACAAATTAGACCATAAAATCACAATATATTATTGACAATTGTAATGCAATTGCATACTAGCATCTCGTTATTAGGTCAATAGGTTAAATCGGGTCATGCATACAAGTAACAAAATTAAAAATTGTTTACAACATATTATCCATTTTATTTATATTAAATCCATAGTTATCAATTTCTACCTCTTTAATAATGTATGCATTGATTTCAATAACGCATGATATGCTTCATGGCTTACCTACAAATCGACGTAAATATATTGTATATGTACCTACACGTATTTACGTAAACTTTGGAGTTTTTATCGACATATTTAATGAATCTCACTAGTCAAGTATTTAAAATTGATTATAAAATATTTTAGTTAACTACATTATATTTATCATTATTATACCTACCTAACATTACAAATATTTGTCGTTTATAAAATCTAGAAGAAAAATAGTTTTTTTTATTTGTTGATTACCTGCGTAAAAATGATAATTTGATATCATCACTGACGGTCTGTTTTCTTTATCTCTTAAACAGCAAGTGTGTTTATATATGGTTTTCAACCTTGGTTGTTTGGTGCGTTGGAAAATTTTACTCACAAATACATTACTAGAGTGCGTTAGTATTACGTAGTATTTCCTTCCGGTGGAAAATTTAATATTACAATAGTTTTAAATGATATTGTCGGATTTTCGTTATACTAATTATCAACAATTTAAAAATAGTGACTGGATTCAGAGAGACGAGACCATATTTTGTTTGGTCTATTTGTGTTGTGTTACTCACTTTTAATTAGTACCTATGGTGCTGAGTTATAAATTATAGCAAAAAATAAGACAACAATAGTAACATAACTTTCGAAAAACGATCCTTCAATATTATTTGATTTAAGACAAAATGATAAAACTAGATCAATAAATGTATGCAAAAATTACGCTTAAAAACTTAAAATAACATTTTGTTTGAGTATAGTACACAGTTTATGATAGACTAATAATACATAATGGCCACATGTATTATCAAGCTATTGGATTAATGTATGTATACATAGAAGATAGGTTTAGGTTATACCTATTGGTTATATTGGTTATTGAGTAAAGTAAACGTTCAAACCAAATATTGATATCGGATACGTCTTATACTATATAGGTACATAAATCAATAGATGGATATTTTGGATTAATATTGAATAGGTAGGTATAATAACACACATAATTTGCATCATGCACAATATCTTTAAACATAATTAATAATAATAATATATAATTAATTACATATTGTTTGATGTTTTAGGTTACTGGATAATATGTACATTACTATGCATAGATTGTAATGTTATAATAGTAATTTATAATTTAGGCGTCAGAGTATAATAATTGAGGGCTATACAGTTGATTAGTTGAATAATATAATATTACACTTCCGAAATAATAAGAAAAGATACAATAAAATATATGATAAGTTTAAATAGGTATACCTGTTACTGCAAATGCTTCCATTAGTTCGATAAAATTACGATTTCTAAAACGGATGATGTTAATGTTATGGTTAATTTTGATTGCATGTAAGAAATTTCTTTGATAATAATCATTTTTCATTTCAAAAATAAAAGAAGAAACTGACTAAATTCCTAATGGATGCACAATTATGTGTTCAAGTTTAGTTTTAATTGAAATGATTGAATGTGACGATTTTCGTTTCCTACAGAATTTTTAGATAGTTTACATTTAAGTAGTTTACTTCCGCACAGTTTGGTACTAAAGAAAGATACTATTGTAATACTCTTGAGGAATTTAAATGAAATCTAAAATCTAATGAATGGCACAAGATTTATTATTCGAAATATGTACGATCATTCTTAAGACTTGGAATCTATAACTGGTCAAGGAACTTGTCAGCATATTTTATTGCCTACAATTGATTTGACTCCGTCAGATTCTACTCTTCCCTTTTCATTTTCCAGGCGTCAATTTCCGAGAAGAATAGCTTCTGCTATGACAATCAACAAAACGCAGGGTCAAACATTGGATAAAGTAGGATTGTATTTACCCCAACATGTGTTTAGTCATAGTCAACTTTATGTTGCCATGTCCAGAGTTAGATCTTTTGAAAAGTTAAAAATACAAATAATACCCAAAAACAAAAAAAAAATACAATGAATATAGTATATAAAGAAATCCTATAATAATAAATAATAATACACATATTCGTTGAAATTCATTACTTTATACATTTTTTTGTTCTGGGAGAAATATTTACAGTTTTCCCGTGTATAAAATATATCTTTCGTACCTATACCTATCTATAGTATTTATAAATGTAATAAAGCTTAAGAAATTAAATTATTTTCCATTTCATATTTTTTCTATACATTAAAACATGATACATCATTTATATTTATTTATTGTATGTGCAATTATTCAACTATTTGATTTTTTTACCGTAACTAACCCGGCAGTCGGCAGCGACGGGTAATTCAGCTAGTTTATTTAAAAACCATGTAATATAGTATTTTTTTTAAATAAAAATTTAGTAAGACTAAAAAAATAATAATACCAAAGCAGGAATGAAGGAAAAAATGGATAAATTCACCTAGCTTATTAAATTAACGTTTAATTAGGTGATTAGATTTTCTTTTTTTTTTGGTATCTTATTCCTTCGTTTTAATTTTAGTTCTAAATATAATGATGAAAATCTTTTTAAGCAACTGATTTAAAATACCAATACTAAAAATCTTGTTCATTCAAATTTAATTTATTACCATATAATACGTATAATAAGAGTTATGTAATTGAAATTCAAAACAAACTATAAATAAGTACCTATACTGGCTATATTACCTACTCATATTTCATGTACCTACAGAGTACAGATCATGATGCATTGCAATTTTGTTTTACACTATACCCATGTCCAATAACGTAATAACAATAAAAATAATTAAATATTATGTAATTATTTCTTAATCAAATAATTATATTTAGAAAAAATTAAGATAATATACTACATTAAGATTTATTACAAATAGATTAAAGTAAATAATATGATCTAACTTTTTAAATATAATAGGTTTATTTGTTATTATGTTATAAACATATTTATCTACAAGGTCCTCCAAATTGTATATTATATGTCGTGACTATGAAAAATGTTTAAACATTAAAATATTCTAGTAATTATTTATTATATCTATAAAAATGTATAATTAAAAAAAATGTTTTTCCATTGGGTCAAAGTGCTCAGAAATGTCCACATTACAATGTGACATCATTTTGAATTCATCATACTAATAAATCTTTTTCTTTGTTATTTTATAAGTGTTAAGAATACAATTTTTTGACCATAAGTATTTAACCGAGTAATAAAGTTATGATTGTAGAGTTTAAATCAAATTTGGATAATTTAAATTTTTTATTCAATTTTATTATTTTTATAATTTGTTAACAAACGTTGTTTAAAAACTAATATCTTTAAATAAAAATATACTTACTATTTGAGCAACTTTAAATTAGCCAAGCTAATTGTTTTTAGAATGCGACAGTACACATTTAATATATTCTATTCCTATTCCTAACTCAAGTTTCAACTATTACATTATATGTAGTTAACGTTAATTTCTGTCTAATACCAAGATTTACAGGGAAACAGCATCACTTTAACGAGAGCAGTGAAATAAAATATTTATCTAATTATCGGAAACACTTTTATTTTATACGTGAAGTTATATTTTTATTATTTTCATATGATATTATAGAAAAGCATGTGTAAGGTTTACATATCAGAAAAAAAATTAACATTTAAACGTTATTTATAAAATAATATAACAATAAATAACTAATATATAAGTTCTTGGGTGTAGGGAATTGGTAAGATGGAGTTATGAACACTTAAATCTATATAATATGAGGTGGATTTGATGGTTAAAAAACGCGGAAATACGCTGGGCAAAAATATAATTTTTTAGTTCAGTGGTAACCAACCTGTTTTTACCGATTGATATAAAAAAAAATTCTTGGTGGGTTAAGTCTTAATATTATATTAATCTATTGCATTCATAAATTGATATATTTACCACTGATACATTCTTAGAGTATAATTATTTAGACTATAAGAAG